AGGTCACTTGAGGCTTAATTCAGTCTTAATTGCACAACTATCGTAGTAAGGGCGATAGTACGAGCTAAGCCTGGTAATATCCCCCGGTCGGCGAACACACCTACACATGAAAAGATAAATTGCTCTCCCAAAACCCCCATTTAATTCCCGACCGTAACAATACAGATAGATCGTTAGACGAAATCCGTTTGATTATATGCTGTATGTTTCAATGTTTGTGCAGAGCGTGTTGGAGAGGTAGTCGAGTACTGCAAATCCTGTACCTTGATATTGCCCGATTATCGCATATAACTCGAAGCGCTCTTTAGCTGTCTTGTACGTTGCATCAACATGTATCTCTGTAACAAGTTCCTTCGGATACGTTAAACAAGGGGAAGAAAATGCTATCGCTGTAAAGTCTTTGTTGAAGTCGCTTCCATATATACAAACCGTCTTTCAGGAATTCTATTTGTTTACTGGATGTCGTAGTTGAAAACCATGCGGCAATAAAAGCCATTTTTGTTTTCGGCTTTTGTTGCTTTGAGCATGAACATATAAATGAATGAATCTTTGTATGTATTGTCATTAATAGAGCACAACCTTTTTTCTTGAAATGGCGTCCAAATATTTGGGTTGGATTAAAGCTTTGTGATAATGGGATGCTGTTAACATCTTCAGAACTCATCGGAATGGGTGTCGTTTCGGACGGCGTTGACGAATTAATGGGCCAAATAATTCTGATTCAGACACTATGAAAGAATGTTTGGCAGCACAATGGACAGGCAGCCCACCGTAATTGTGTGAGTTTTACCCTTCTCAGGACTACTGGGAGTCTTCCATACCGCGCGGAAACTTGCCTCAAAGCATTTTATATTTGCTCAACTGGCTGGCCTTTCTCTTAACATCTCCGAACAATTAATTTTCAATAAATAGTCTTCTTTTTGAAAGGAGAAGGTAAAATCATTTGCTTTTGACGGTACTCATAAAAAACCTTTTCAAGGTGGGGATGGTTAAATAGTAAGCGTGACTCACTTTGCACGTGATAGATAATTTTACCATGTGATACAGTTAATCCAAATAAAAAAAGGTGATTTATCAGGTTATCAAAAAAGTGGGGTTTTTTTAACAGACGATGCAGAACACAAAAGTTACAGTTTAAAATTTTAATTTAATAAAAAAAAAAAGGGTTGAGTTTTAGGTATTTGAAAAGCAACAGTTTCTTAAGTTTTTTACTAAGATAAAAAAACAGGCGCCTCAAGATCTCGCGAGAGATTTAGGCAAGAGATACTGTATATAAGATTTGACCTTAATTTTAAAGTCGTAGTTAGCGGAAGCGATTTATTTAGCGTTAGTGCAAAGCATAAAAATGTAAATTAAAAAGAAAGAGACGTAATGGTAAAGGCAATGTATCCGAAAAAAAGGTAAATTAAATTAATATCATTATCATACATTCTTGAATTTATAATTAAATCAGGTATATCATATAGAACGCATTCGACTGTATTTGCATGACCTGTTTATTTGTAGAAAAAATAGCTCGGCTCATTATTGGGACCTATTAGCGTATTTGCATGTAAGCGTGCATCAGATAATTCTACTAAGCATATTATATGTGCATGTTAATATAATATTATAAAAAAGGAGAAACATCTTCATGAAGCAAATGACTTTTACAGGTAATAAATATAAACAATGGAAATTGATCTCTTTTTTGCCTATTCGCGCTCTCACCTGCTTTGGTTCAGTGTCACGGATAGAATGACGACATAATAGTCGTAAATGACAACAAATTTTTCTCTTGCCGACAATTTCTGCCTCCTTGTTTAGTGACATGCAAGCGTCTTGTAGGTTTTTTAGCACAAACCATAATGAGGTATCAAGTGAATTGCGTTATTGTGACTATGGGGGTTGTCGATGATATCATGTAGGTACCAAAGTTTCGAGTGATTCTACGGTATTATTACACGGTGACGATGAATAATCTCTTTATAAGACGCAAAGGTATCTAGTATTCAAGGTGAAAATCGTACTGCTTGCTGTGATTCTACGACAATTAACTGCCCTCCCCTGCAAAAAATCCATCTGTAGGGGCCAAAATTAAACTTTGCAAAGATCATCATATACGATCATCATGATCGAATCATTCCTTTTATTTAGACTGTTTGTACCTACGCCACAGTGATCGTTGTTTTTGTTCACAAATGTCCGCCTCTCTTCCACCCTTACCGGAAGAATTAAAATTTCTGAATCCTTACCTCCAACGAGCAACCGAGCTCGACAAACGGGAACCTGTTATCGCTTATTATTGTAAGTTATTGCGAAAGCTTGTCTGTTTGATATCAAGCAAACAAAAAAAATCATTCTTACTTGTGTAATAGCATTCATAATAATATTTCGTATATGTCGCTATGACATATAGGTAGGTATTATGCCGCTCAACGTGCAATTGCCAACGGAACAAAAACTCCCGAATCGAACGCTTTTCTGAATAAACTGCTCGATCTACTTGAAGCAGTAAGCATCATCTTTTCTATATCAGGTTTCGTACGTTGTTCCGTTGACTAATTCGACGTCTCTCCCGGCAATGCTATCCAGGAAAAGAAATCCCTTGCCGGAAATGAAGCCCTGACTAACGATATTGCTGGAAGTGCTTATGTCGAGAATTTTGCTCTCAAGATATTCATTAATGCAGATAACGAAGATCGTCTTGGGAAAGCGTCTAGGTGAACTTTTGGAGATGTGATCATTTCAAAAATAGCATTTGCAAAATTGCATAGACGGTTCTAATTCGTTGCGTTATAACTAGGAAGACTGCCAAGACTTTTTTGGCTGCTGCTATATTTCTAGAAATTTTAGAGACATTTGGCAACGTTGAACCAGAGGTAAAAAAGGAAGAAGAAAAAAACCAAAAACTGAATCGTTCTAATGTAACTCAATTGACAATCGAATACATTGTCCAATTTCAAATTTGATAAAATACAGACGAAAGAAAAGATCAAATATGCAAAGTGGAAAGCGGGTGATATCGCCAAAGCCATACGTGATGGTAGAGTGCCGACACCAGGTCCACCGAGTGGTGAGAAACCAGCATTTGCCGATCTAGGCGATGGGTTGAATGCTTCTTCCGACATTGCTGCCCAGCCAGCTTCGTATGCAACGCAGGATGCCGACAAATTCTCCTCCGCTCCTCTGACTGGAACAACAGCTTCGTTGGGTGCAGCAGATAGTGCAGCTCAACCACAAACCTGGGCTTCCTTTCCCACGCCGCCTGGTCTGCATGACAATCACCAGCGACCTCAGGGAACTGCATTTTCGTCTAATTCTTCATTGAACTTTCAAATTTCGGATTTTCCTCGACAGCCGGCACCGCAAGATCCACAGTCTCAACAAGAAGATCCACGGGTACAACAACAGCATCCTCAGGTCCCGCCCCCGCTACCGCCTAAAATTGCAGACTTTCCCATGTTTCCGACTGCTCATAACATGGATCAACTAAATCAGCAGCCACCCACATCTCAACGGACGTCAATGCAACCACAAACTCCGGCGACTAATTACTACGATCTCCAACAACCACAACAACCGCAACAGCAACAGCAACCGCAACAGCAACCGCAACAGCAGCAACCACAACAGCAGCAACCACAACAGCAACAGCAACAGCATTATTCGTCATATAATGTAGACTTGATCAATCTAAACCCAACAGCGCCTACATCCCATGCCCCTTCTATGCAACCACATCCGCCACCACAACCATCTCAGTTATCGCAGCCATATATTCAATCATATTCATACCAACAACCTCCCGTGTCTCAGCAGCATCAACACCAACACTATCAGCAACCACAGTCGCCTACCACGTCTGGTCCACCTCAGAATCCCGTTGAGATAGATCCACTTGTTATTGCCGAAGCTCAAAAACATACTAAATGGGCTGCCAGTGCGATGAATTATAACGATATTAAAGCTGCGCTGAATAATCTTCAAAAGGCACAGGCATTGATAGAGCAATATAATAAATAAAGTCGGTAGACAATTTCGAATATAATCATTACGAGGAGATTGAAATGTAAAAAGAAAGTAAGTTGATTATTGTATGGACTATCGTATGAAAAGTTTAATAGTCTGGTGCTTGTGGGATTTTAGCACTTTGCCAGAAAAAAGTCAGCCAAGTGTTAGCCTTTGTAGCTTAGCCATAGAACGATTGAGACTACTAGTAAATAAAATATCTACAAACTAACTCTCGGTTTGTTGTGTGTTAGTAGTCGTTCTAGTTCTTATGATGCAAAAGGGAATTTACTGACGGCATTCACTTTTCAACTTTTCCTAGTCTTTACTCAATTTAACTACTGGATGAAAAGTCATTAATGTGATTGATTTAATATAAATATAGGGACCATGTCTAATTTATTATATAATACGATCGCTCTTGAGAATATAAATAACAATAAAAGCACCAGAATGATTGCATGCGAGCAGGAAAATACTTGGATATTTCCATCTTTGTCATTCAACATTGAATTGCCACAATGGATTTTTGGATCGGATCCAGTTCTTTCGTCGTATCTCAGACAACGTTTCAATAAGTTCATCCAGAATTTGCTTATATCGGATAAATAATACAGCATTATGAATATTATCACAGCAATTTAGGACCTATGCTAAATATCCAACATTTGTTTATTGCTCTCGGTGGACTTGATGCAATGATGGTTGGAGACTTGGCACGCAACTACCTTCAGTGAAGCAACACGAGTATTTTATTCTATAACATTTATTCTTCCCATTATTTCTTTTAACCACAAAGACAACAATGCGACGCGTTATTTTATCAAACACTTGGAATTCCCCTACACAGAGATGCTAAAGAATACCAACACTCACAACAAATAGCTAAAGATTCGTCAGCCTTCCACCCGATCAGTCACAAATAAATTTCTAGTTCCAACGTTAATACATAGTCAGCCAAATAATAACGAGGAAATCAACGCGAAACCAATTACGGTTACAGTAACATTATGGTACGAAAATTACACTAAACGGGATTTAGATGTAATAACACAATTCGCGTTCAACATAGTGGCGATGATGCACAGTTTAATTGCTATGATAATTGGCATTGTTGTATACAATGAAGTAACTCGAAATATAAATACTAGGACAATGAATTATCATCTATATTAATATCGGTACAAGCTGATTTTCCATATTTACAGATTTCTTTTCTCACTATAAGATAACAGCAACTGTTTATGGTACTTGCAACTAAGGCTACAGCAATCATACAATAGACTATGTGTCGTTAGTTGTTTACGATATGCAATTGATGACTTGGTTCAAATCTCCTTGGAAAGTGAGCGTAAATGCTCCAGACTCGATTGTACTGAAATCACTGATATTAAATCAACTCCAACAGACACAGTCTATTATGCTATTCGCAAACAAAAACGGGTTGGTAGAATTAAGGAAACGATGATATAATGTTGCTATTCCCCTGGAAGTAATGAAGAATGTACATCAACTTGTGAGTGATTCCAACACACAACAATGATGTTAATCGGTTCAGAAAATACAAAAGATGGCTTGAATTTCGCAACGAACTCGTATATGGATCAAGCAGATTCTCAGTCGCTTGATTTTGATCAGGTACATCATTTCACTTGCAAATAGTATCAAGTATGCATTGCATTGATTGTTGTAATGATTGTATTGTTTATTCAAATAGATAATTAACGAATACCTGGAGATATTAACACGAGACAATATTTGGATAATTGGGATTACCCAATCGGGAATATTTCTATAATGAAATACGTCCATTAGTGGACAGAATTACGCAGTATTAGTAAGTCCGATTAATTGGTCTATGAGGTATTGGACTAGTTGCTCTGCTGCTAACGGATCGGTTTCCTGAATGGTGGTCTGGACCTCTATGGGCACGGATTTTCTCGACAAGGTCGTCTAGCGTGCAGAGGAGGACTGTGCACGGTGCCTCCCTTGCAACTTTCCATGCCTCCTCTGAATAGTCCAGAACCACTATCGTTTCCACCGCGTTTTTTGAGGCAAGCATGGTGGTGCCTATATCGGGTCCAGGCGAAGGTGGGTGGTAACTTGGCATCGGGCTGTCTGGGTATATTTCTGGGCCACTCTTGTTCCCATCCATTGTCTTGCTGGGCACATTGGAGGAATTTCAGACTTGTTCTTGGATTCGATTTCTTGGATGTCGCATTCGAATAGGACGGTTCCTCTTCAAATTCGCCGAGGAAAGGTAGGTAATCATTTTTTCGATATTTACATTGGTGTCTTTTTTGTTTGAGGTGATGTTATGTTTACAATACTAATATTGTAGCTTGTATTGTTATATTTTGAGACAGTGAGACGCCGTCACAGACAAAGTAGATGCCTGTCCGAAATGGATTGGTGGTCTGGGCCTCTATGGGCACGGATTTTCTCGACAAGGTCGTCTGGCAACTTTCCGTGCCTCCTCTGAATAGCCCAGAGCCACCATCATCGCGTTTTTTGAGGCAAGCACGGCGGTGCCAATGTATTGATGGTATCTTAAATATGTCTCGTCCCCTACCCCACATTACCACACAAGGGGCAGTTTTATTATAATGTCCGCCCCCACCCACACTACCGCACAAGGTGCAGTTTTATTATAATGTCCCGCCCCTCACCCATACTACCGCACAAGGTGCAGTTTAATAATGTCCCCGCCCTGGTCCTTGCAGAGTTCCGAGATCAAGTCGTTAGAGGTAAGAAACGCGGGTGATATAGAAATCACGGATGAGGCGTTGGCACTGTGTTCGGATCCATTTTCGCTGCTCATGGTTGTTTATGTTTGTTGTTGTTAGTTGTATTTGCAAGTGGTAGAAGTGGTGGTGGTTTTGTTGGAGTGTTTGTTTGTAGATGATCATTGTTAATACTTGGCAGGCATGAAACAATTGAAATAAACGGGGGGTGTCCAACCCCCCCCCCAAAAACGCGAAGATTACGCAATTGCAAAATTTTTTTATTGGTTTGATAACGGTGGTTACGCTAGTACAAGAATTGCAAAAAAATTTTATTGGTCAGATTCAAGTGATCTTTGACGATTCTTGGGGGTAGAATCAATCCTTAACTTGTACCTGACCAGAAGTCATGCTTGAAAGCGAAACTGGTTGTAGGGAAAACATACTGAATAGTACATTGATAATGCAACAGTTATGTTGGATGGTGAACGACGGTGCGGATACTGTACGTATGGCTGTTTCTTTATTATAATATGTTGTCTCATATCATTCCGAGTACCTGTTACTCACGGGGTTAAGTTGCGTTAAATGAGAGAGTAACTTCTGTTAATTAATTTGTATATTAAAAGCTTTTTTTTTTACAATTTATATACGTTTTCTTTTTTAGTATAAAGTGGCGGATATGACGAATCTGCTAGGAAAAAGAACTCAAAGTTTTTGGGTTTCAGACCAAAGGTAAAATTTTGCATTTTCTATGTTAGCGTTGTTCTAATGATGTGTTTTGAATTTTAATACTTGATTTATTGTGTGCTTACAGGCTTTGGTTGCTTTATCTCTGTGGTAGAGATAGTTGGTCGTGGAATTTATCGCCAACACGCGCCTTACCAGAAACTTTGTAAGTCAAAGTCTTGAAGTCTTTGTTATTATCGTAGATAACTTTTGTATTTACCTATTGATTTTTATAGGCGCCATATTTGGGCGTATCCATCATCTAACCCAATGATGGATTATAACGAAGGAACATACATCGTGAAAATTATTTCACGTTTCTTCGAAGGGTTTAAATATGGAAAGACAAATTTTAACGTTAGGTGGTAAGTAATATTAAAAATCTTGCTCATGCTAAGCATATTCTCTATAATTTTATTTCTAAGTCGTGTTTATACAATTGTATTAGGGCTGACACGAGAGATGCCGCTGGCGCTACTACCACAAGAGACGCAGCCGCTAGAACTAGCTTTCTGCTAGTTTGGTTGAACTAAGCTTTCTGCTAGCATGACTGAATTAAAAGATCTGCTAGTTCGGTCGGGCTAAGCTTTCTGCTAGCATGACTGAATTAAAAGATCTGCTAGTTCGGTCGGGCTAAGCTTTCTGCTAGCCTGACTGAATTAAAAGATCTTCTAGTTTGGTCGGGCTAAGCTTTCTGCTAGCCTGACTGAATTAAAAGATCTTCTAGTTTGGTCGGCTAAGCTTTCTGCTAGTTTGGCTGAATTAAAGATCTTCTAGTTTGCCAGAGTTGCTACTCTCTATACGCCAGCGGAAACGAAACCACCCGCCTAACGTTCGAATGTAAGTTTCGTGTTAATTAAATACGTATGTTTGATTTATTTAAGTAACCATGATACGAATACTAATATCAAAATATTTAATTTATCCCTTCCCCAGTTGGATCGATCATAATTTACCATAGTAAAATTTTATCATTCCATGGAAAAGATAGACAATAGAATCCTTTCTGACGTTCTATTACTATCACTATTACCTGTCCAACCACATTAAATCCTTTAAATGTACATAACATTATTAACAATAAAGTATGTTTGATCCTGTAAATAGACGATATTCATAAGTAATGACATGACAATGTACCCACGCACACACAATAATCACATCATTCTCGGTCGAATTATCGGAATCAACGCCGACGATTCCCCAAATCTCCATATTAACATCCACAGTTTGGCTCGATCAAAGCACTATCTGCAACATATTTACCATTTGAGAACGAAAAGTTCTTCGTAGAGGATTCTCCTGTCAAAGATAAAGCCTTAGTTTCTTCCAAAGTGTTATATAACACAGGAACTGAAAGACCATGCACGGGAGATATAACTATATAATCCAAGTTCCAAGAAATCTTCGCTTGAAGTCAAGTGATTTTCACGGGTGCGGTGATCGACATAATCCTAGCTATAATAATAACCTCGCACATCGCACACTAGTAGTTCAGCAATAAAGTCGAAACTTCCCTTGACTAATTAATACGTAAAATGTCTGTGAATAAACCTTTGATATGACGATACGCCACAGCGTGTTCAAGGGCTTAAACGCTGGCGAAAACTGGCCGTTCAAATAAAAAAGCGTTGTGAAGAGGCTTACTGCAGTAGCAATTAATAGAGTAGATGAGCAAGTAAAAGATGAGCTTGCTACACCGGGACAAAAGTATCGGACACCCTAGCTTACACGATAATTGAGGCTAAAATTTTTATACGTTATAGTCTAGCTTCTTATGAATCTATGTATAAGACTAATGCTTTGTTGGCCAGCCCTTACTCGCAATACATGCTTCAACTCTTCGAGGCATACTTTTAATTAAATTCATCAAAACATTGGTAGTAATTGGCTCCATTCCTCCTGTAATATTTTTAGCCATAATTGAACGCTTCCTAACACGTCCTTCCAATTCTGATCAAATCCGGTGATTGTCTTAGCCAATTAGGTAAAATTTTCTTTCAATACACCAATTTAGGCGATTTTCTCTTTGCCGATCAGTAAGGAGAAAAAAATTTTAAAGTTAGTTCTTTCATTAGATTTGTTCAACCGAGTATTTCTTGTTCTTTCGCTTAACAACCTGTTTTAATAATTGTCTTGCTCAAAATTTAAAAGTTTTGAGCGGCACTGCGTGGTTGATTGCGAGCTTTTTTTTTTTTTCGAGAAAAGTTTAAATTTTTCGTATTACTGTTGCTCTAGCGCTAGGAAAGCCAAAAGTTTTAGATATACTCATTTTTGTAGCACTACTTTTAAAAAGTCTGATAACTTGGCTACGTTCGGCTTCGGTCAAGTCAGACATTTTTCAAGTTAAAGATTAAACACCAATCCCGTTTATATCGTTTACAAAGGAAATAAATATAAACAACGCGTAAAAATTATATGCGTCCGTGTTCATAAGAAGTTAGACTATAAAATATTTAGCCTCGATTATTATGTACAGTTTAGAGCAATTAATAAAGTTAGGGTGTCCGATAATTTTGTCCAGGTAGTGTATATTAATATCAATATGCAGTTCATCAGTTGCCAGGCTGCTTAGAAATTGATCCTTCAGACATTCCTAATTTTTTTTGCCCCATACTTCATTAAAGAGATTGGTTCAAAGGATTGAGCAAGAAAAAAACAACTAATTTGCAAGCTGTCTACCAACTTGATATAATGTCCAAGGAGAATTTAAATTAGAGTCGAGATTGAGAGTTATCTTTAATTTCATGGCTCATTCTGAAAATACTTGGAATATGCATCAGCATCAGAGAGTCCAGCTAGTCAGAGTAGTTATCTAACAAATTAAAGTTGTTAGGGTTTGATTATGATAAAGTTAACCACCAGTTGTTTTTTTTAACTTGCTCAATTTTTGTAGCTTACTATCAATTTATTTAAGGGTTTTACGAATTTCCTCTCGACGATTAATAACTAATTTGAGAATCTTCAACATTTGTTCTTATTCAATAATATCGAACACCTTGTAACTAGAATAGTCATTTTGTATTCTAACAAACTAATAAAATCGTAATTAAATACAAATTTGTTTCGTTCATTTCCCTGATAAAGATATCTTTTGCTGGTAAAATTGTAAAACGCTTTCCCGTATCAGCGGTAGACGGACGAACTTGCCTTTGGTTTTGCAGAATCTTTTTGACATTAGGATTATTATTTTATTAAGCGCTTAGCATATAAATAATAATCTAGGGACAGCGTATGAAAGACTGGTCTTGCATCGTGAGTATTTGAAACCAATACCAATTATCGCTTATAGGTTTAACATTAGTTAGGCCTCGTTCGAAGAGTTAAACAAAAGGTCAATATACGAGTGGTCAGGAACTTTTGAGTAGGTAGTGTATGCGAATAATAAAGAATGTCGAAAGAAATGATTTTAATAACCAAGCTGTTTGATACTTGACTGTATATTGAGAGACAAGTACGGAGAAGACCATCGCGGCTTACGGAATCTGATCTAGCCAAATTTCAAAGATAGGATTGGCTCGATGAACAAACACATTATAAAAAAAAATGTTAAAGCGTTCGTTGTTGTTGAAATAAAGTCCTACGCAACGGATAAAGAATACATTGAACCGTTGCTGCGAAATAAAGTGTTACGCATCGAATAAAGAAAATACTCGTGTTACTCTGTATATTATCACATTTCGAAAGTCAATTATCTTTGTAATAGCGTAGTGACATTTACGTTAACTTTGTAATTATTCTTGTATAACTAATGGTTTATAGTGTTTGTAGTTGTGTTCTTGTATTAAAAATTCGAGTTCTGTATTAACATGTCCTTGTATGTACCGGTGCAGTTTAATAAAATTGTCATAGAAGATCTGAATCTAATTATTAACAAATGCGAAAATTGTTAGTAAACAAAATCGAATATCGTTAAATAATATCCTTCTTTATCACGATTTTGATGGCTTCTTCGGACCAAACAGTTGACGTTTCCAACACAAAACTGTGGGACGTTTCCAACACAAAACTGTGGGTCGTTATACAACGCGCAAGACGCTCATAGAATTTATCCGGAAGTCGAGAAAAGAAGTCTATAAATATATAATTGTTTAACAAAATGAGAATCTATGAAGACTATTGAAATCAATTTGAATGTTTCTAGCTGAACCAGAATTTAGAACAAATTATATATGAACTAATTTCTAGACGTTTGACAAAATTGAAGTTAATTAATGATTTCAAGCATTAAATAATAATTACTATAATACTGAAGGAGATAAATTCTGTAATTCTTATTCTCTTACCGATTGAAGCTGGATTTCGCCAACTGAAAAAATTTATTGTTGCAAAAAAATAATAATAGTGTACAGTACCCTGCCAGAAGTGAGTGATCACCACGAAAATCTACTAGTAAAACATATGGAATGTCTTTCTTTTCAAAATCGCTCCTACTCATGTGTACTATACGAAGGATGATAATTTTTGTATGGTTTGGAAGCTAATTGATTGTGATTTTCGAAAAAAATAACAAAAAAAAAGTATATTTTATCGTTATAAAACAGTAGCTTGACGAAGTGTGAGTATACGTGCTATACACATATAATTATAGATTTTTATATCGTGATTTAAAGACAGCTAGTTCAACTTGCTACCGCTTTATAACAATAATTTATAAAAATTTATTGTTAATTTTTGGAAAAACACAATCAATTAGCTTCCGAACCATACAAAAAAAATTTTTTCCTTCGCATAGTACACATGGGCAGGAGAGATTTTTGAAAAGAAAGACATTCCATATGTTTTACTAGTAAATTTTCGCTGTGATCACTCACTTCTGGCAGAGTACTGTACCTTGGTTGTGCCCATGAATAAACCGAAAATATTGTATATTAATATACGATCAGGCAATTGTATTTGCGTAAGGAGAACCATTGCTATTATCAACATTGTCATGCAAAAGTTAAAATCCAGCATTTTAATGTCACCACGTAGTCTTGAATAAATCTCAAAGTTCACAAAAGGCTGTGCGAAAAAGGCTCGTTGGTCAACAGTACCCGAGTGTATAAATCTACAATGAAAGAAGTTTATTGGATGCGTTGGTGACGTATCTCTAACCTTTTTAACGTAAAGCAAATTAACTGACGAGTGTTATAAGTAACGCTATATCTTGAAATCAATTTTGTGCAAGAGCTTGGAAGAGACAACTTAACGAATTATAATATATTCTACCTTCAAACCTAACTCAACATTTTGCGGTAATAATAAAGTGTTATAATATGGTGTTCTGCCTGCACACCTCTATTTTGATACTGTCATAGCTCCGGTGACTGTCCCCGAAATTCTAGAAATATAATTGATCCATGAATAAAAGTTCTTTCTATTAGTGTATCTTACCATACTTTCGTTCTTGAGGGGTCAAATAGCAGCCATACAAAAACCTGACCTATTTCTCTGGTTACTCTGGTGCAAGTTTAAGGTTCACGTTTTCGTATTACTACTATTATTAATGCAGGTATGACTGTTATGGCTATCATTAATTTCTTTTGTTTGCGTTTCATTACCTTACAATCTTGTATTTCTGAATTGCCTCTGTGGTTGCATCGTTGTTTGTAGGTAAAACGCTTGTTCGTGTGTGGAACTGTAACAGTCTCTCCTTTGTTAAGTAATTTGCAAAGTTTCAAGTACAATTTTGTTTCAAAAAGTTAATTCGTTCGTAGTATATAAATAACACGGAGCAAGGCCAAAAACCGGCATAATGACACTGGTACTTTTAGAACTTGGATAGCCAATTTTGGTTTGAATGACTGGGATAACATAATCTTTTTCACAAAATGTTCTAATAATATCACAAGGCAAATGCAGCGATTAGAAATTACGAATCTCTCGTATCATAATATAATATGGTATTTTAGCCATAAGCTTATACAGCATGACTACTTTATTGCATTGTATACATATTAACAAGCTTTCTTTACCATTAATTAGTATCTGAAGCGCTCGTCAGCATCCTCTACTATCCCTAAGTTTATATCGCTCTCTTTATCTCTCTTGCGTTTGTAGCAGCTGCTTTCTCATTTAATTGGTCATTGTTGACAGGCTGCAAATTCTCCGTGGTATTTACATATCGCATTGATGAACCCTTGCACAAATGGAACTCAGCCTCTCGAACAATACAGCATCATGTAACACTGTTTCATCCTTGTTTGGGAAAACAGAATCTTTATTTGTATAGTAGAATAATTACGCAGGTATTGTTATACTGTATCTCATCAGGCCATTGTTCCCGTTTATATGACTGTAAACAAGCCTTGGCTCGTACTGTGTTTCATCCGACATTAATCCTATATACGTTTGAGTGTTTCGCTATAGAATGTTCAAACGTTTACCCTTTCAAAGAGAAAAGGTGCTATTTTCGTTTTTCGATTTAGACCCTTTTCGACTGTATAGCCACTTTATATTCATCCGAATCACGTGAAATCTTTGTAAAAAATAAAGTGCAAAGATTTGTGTGCACAAGGAGGTTCATCATGACAGAATCTGTTGATTTCGTTAAACTGACAACGGACCCACTTGATCTTCAAGAAATAGTGGACTTGGTTAAGGACAATGGCGCGGGCGCAATTTCCACGTTTTCGGGGACAACAAGGAATACATTCAATGGTAGTACAGACAGCCTTTCAACATTTTTCAGCGACATTTTTGCATGCTCGTAATGAAAGCCTTGCATGACCATTGACGAAATCGTACATTATGCCACTTTATACATACATCTCATCATTCTTTACTGTACTCCTTTTCATTACGTTGCACATTGCATATCCTAAAAATAAGGCAAAACTGTGGTCCAGTTGGACTACGAAGCATATACGCCAATGGCAATCAAACTGTTATCTTCTCTCATTGTGACTGCCCGCTCTCAATGGCTGATTACGAAAGCAGCCATCTATCACCGACTCGGCACCGTACCAGTTGGCGAAACGAGCGTCATAGTTGCAGTCTCGACTGTCCACAGAGAGGAATCGTTTCGCGCTGTCGAGTTTCTGGTGAACGAGCTAAAGGCCAGCGTGCCCATATGGAAAAAAGAGATATACAGCGATGGGAGTGTTTGGAAGGAAAATGCCGAATCGAAAAGATGTTGCAGATCATGAGTGTAACATGGTTTTTGAAGGACAGGACGGAGAAAAGGAAAACGGGCTGACCTTGTTCTGAATGTGGTTTGGTTTTGGCTTATTCTAATCATTCTAATCAGCGTATTAAATTGTAACAAGACATGTTTGTACGCTATCCTTACCCCGTATAGTAGTAATAAACGGTAGCAATAAGGTTAGACCGATGAACAATATGGAAGTCGGCCGCTCTTGTCTCTCCTGAAATGCATTGAATACGGAGGTCTTTATAAACATTGTATCATTTAATATCGATAATGTTCCATGTGATATGACGTTTGTCGAACCAATTTCGTGTGAATGGTGAAAAGTTTAGAGAAAGATATGTGATATAATCGTTTCTGGTGACGGGTTGAAGTATATGCATTGAAGTTTGTAGCACGGTGAGAATACGAATTGTTTGTAAAAAAAGAAATCTTTCAATTGTTTTAAAAAGGTATATAGCGAATCGTTACGAGCAATCCTTCGTTTTTTTCTCTTCATTTTATTCTCTCTGTCAATAAGATAGAAAAATATAAACTTTAAACTCAAAGAGTTGGAAAGAACACTAAACTGATAAGAGCTGAAAGGACACTAAACTGATTATACCCAAACATAACAAAACGGTTATCACAGAAAAAAGATAGAATGTTTAACAAAATACTAGAGCTTTTCCAAAAAGTATATTTATTGCTCTTTGGAGAAAAGAAGAAGCAAACAACCTTACAAATACAAGTTGACAAAGGCTATGGAACACTCAACTCTCTCACCAACTATGTACAGCCAACAGCTACTCCGAGACCGTTTTTCTGGTATGTATCAAAAACATTAGTAAAAATGGTGGGAATGTCTATATTACATCGCTTAATATTAATTTCTCTCTCTCTCTCTCTCTCTCTCTCTCTCTAGTCCACCGACACCATATTCAGTAGCATCGTATGTCAACTTTTTAGCTATCGATCGCAACGACGACGACGATGACATGTCGACAATCTACATATTTTCTCCTCCTGGAAGCATACAAGAGCCAACATTCTCCCCGCTTGCCGTCAAACACATGGGGATGCTATCTCCAATAGATCGATGCCAGCGTTTTCTATTCTCTCCGCCACATTACAATCGACAGCTTCTACATAACAACAGTTTGTGGACACGTACGCCAATAGATGATAACGTATTTTCTGTATGACAACATAAGGTTACCAGCCTCGTTTTTTAATAATAATCGTGAGTAAAAATCTCATAACTGGGGTTGAGGTTAGGGAAGGGGGGCCATATTATTTGTTTATAAGCTTTTAATGTTAAGTACTACATTGTAGCATCTGGTAACGCAATCGCAAACAATCATAAATGGTAACACGGACGGAGTGGCGTATCTCAAAAGAATGAAAAAAAACGAGTCAACGTCGATTGGGTGAAGGTAATGCGTGTGTGTGCAGAAAGAAGCAAAAGCTTAAAAGTAGAAAAACGGACATTTTACACTTGGGTTGGGTTGGGTTGGGGGGGGGGGTAAAAAAAAAAGAGTTTAAACTTAAAAAAGTATATAAACGTTTCGGTGTCGAATTATTGCTATCAACAACATCTGAAACACAATCGGCTGTTGTGTCACTCGAGAACTCGTGATTTGTAATAAGAATCCCCGAAACTCCCTGTTTTTAATAAAAGTCTTAATATATCGTTACACCACTGATTATCGGCCGGAGTTATGTGGACCAACAGTTGTCATCACAATAGCCGGAATTGTTAGAAAGCAAGCTCCAGAATTTTAGCTAGTACCACCAACACTGTCTGGCTTATCCACTGATCGACGTCTTTACGTTACGATAATCAGGGCTTTCCGCATATGATCAACAAATTATTCTAAATATGGCAGTCACAAGTGCTTTCTAATTACCGGTTCAGGTGATAAAGTAATATAAATGACTAATACAATTAATTTATCATCTGTATAAATAAATGATCCTTATTACGCGATTTTGGTTAATGCATAAATGCGATATTATTATTTTATGACAATCGACGAGCATTCTCCCCTCTGCATCCTTCATGCTCTCTATACTTTCTTAACTTGCTATTTAATAGACATTCCTTTCTCTTTGTGCTATAACCACAGCGTTGGTTCCCCCATCCCACACCTACTTCTCTTCGTCGCTCCATCGTCGTGTCAACTATCCAAATAAGTATCTATAGCATACAGCATATTCGCAATAAGAAAAAGAAATCAATCCTTCTTTCTCAAAGGTCCATGGCCCCAATCGTCTCGTATGATACTATCTTCCAACCAGAAATCGTGCATGCAGAGTGGACAGCCGACAGACATGACTCTTCGCTGCCTTTACTCGTACGCAGAGACACAGTTGACACACTTTCATCAACACATTCACCTAGCATAACACCAACACTCGCATCCATCCTCGCCAGCGCATCAGCAACTGCCGATGCTCAAACTGACCCTGTTGATATTACCATAAGCACATTCAAGCCATGGATACTACCAATAGTCTTGATTGTTGTTGGTTTTATAATCCTAGTCTTCTTGTGTTGCTGTGTGCGATGGAGCAAATTGGCCGAGATTGGATTGAAGAAACCACCATCCAGCACTCGTGGAATTTCGGTCAGAGACGAAAAGAAACTAGTATATCGACAATCCCTACGAACAAAATACACGCAAACAAAATTATCAGAGACACCATCATACTGTGTCAAAGTCGAATCACCCTGCGATCGTAGCAAAAAACCCAGATCCGCACTGAAAGTAAAAACCGATATCTCACCACCCAAAGATGACTTTGATGCATCGTTCGAAGAGTATCTCGTGAGCAAAGTCGGTCACATCACGACACCGAGTACAACTACCACATCTGTGTTCACAGAGCTGGTCGAGACGGCTACAGATAGAACGACCATGTCGTCTACATTGCTGACACCAACACAGAGTTATTATGGTATAACCAAGCCTTCACCGACTACGCCTCCCTCTGTTATCAAAAGGGCTGGTTCGCCTATACCATCGATGCAGATGGAACGATTGTCGGGAAGATCGTTCGAATCGTTCAGTACGTTGATCTCTTCTTCAAAGATGCCGCCTGTCATCGAGGAAAAGAACGAAGAGATTCGTTATAGTGTCGACAATGAAACTATTGGCGGTAATGACAATCCTAAAAGTGAGGTCGATACCGACAAAGATAACATTGGTGATAAAAATGAATCTATATAACAAGAACGGGTGGGTGGTAATCGCAGAAAGTGTCAGACAAATGATAATTCTCTAACACACTGGGGGTTAACATGTTTACATCAAAGACAATCTTACATATAATAGAATGGACTTTTTTGAATCAACGTAAATTATGTACATATAATAAATAGAATTTAGTTTATGTGATGTAATTGGAGTGGTATATAGCATAGCATAATCTTTTTTTTTATCTCTAATTTTTAGATATAAGTTTTCTTTCTAATTATTACCTTATACGATGCCCGAGAGCATGAAAAATACTAATTAATTACTGGAGGTTGAACCGAGTAATCTCCATTTTTAGCTTTTGTCATATTTTGTCCTTTCCGCTGTGGAAATGAATAAAAAGTGTCTGGTTACATTTAATTCGGCAGTTAATAAGTATCATATATACCACCAATGTGAACAGGCGATAAATGATTGATTCATATAGAATGTTACCATGCATAGGAGAACTTGTAGGATCACATTACTTTTCTATTTTTGCGCATTAACACAATGTTTAATCGTTACCAGCCCAGCCCTTTCTATAATCTCTCCCGCCACGTCATCAAAGTAGTCTTTTCCAGTTTGATGGTTATAATCCCTCCCGAAGCGAGTCGAGTCGAATATGACCCATCATAGTAACGAATCCACAGAGACATCCGTAAGTCATCTTATTAACTCAGAGGGCCTTAAACACTAACTAATCAAACACCGTCATGGTGCTTGATCGGCTTTGCACAACAAAAAAGGGCATCAAAAGAATCAACATCGTATGACATTCTTCATCTTTGATCTAAATTTTTTGTTAAACACATCGTTGGTCACGTGTCGTTTAATAGAAATCATCGACGATTACATGTATTAATGCATGCTAAATGATTATGTCGGTTAACACGTTTCAAAAAATAGGGTAAGCGACGATGGCGACTAACGTTTCAAATCATTTCTTGATTAACGTCTTATTAAAAATTTGGTAGTACATGGTCACAGTATTAATTAATTGATGCTTATATGAATAAATATTACCTTAATTCATTAGGACCGACCACATGTTTCTAATTTCTAAAAACAGATTTGCAGGCAGCTCGATAAAAATGTTACTTGCTAGTTTAAGTTGAACCACACACGAATCTAATCGCATGTGTTCTAATGATATTACGATAACCAATGGCTTGTCTGTTGGTCGTCTGTTACTGTTATAGCAAATACTGGCACTCGCACAGATTTGCTCTTTATACATACAGTACATAGCTATCTCCCAAAATTATTCGGATAATAAATGACTCGGTAGCCAGAATCGGATTCATTATAGACCGAGTGAAGTCTTCTAATTTGCGACTCCAATAAGATCGACAGGTTTTAGAGTAGCCGGATCGACGAGACCGATTAAAGGCAGGAAGATTGTTATTGTCTGTCAATACAATACCGGTTAAAAAAATAGCGACGTAGCAAGTTTTACGACTAATTAGAACATGCAATAAACATGGCTTAGCAATACATAATGGAGGCATGGAGTATACATGGGGAGAGATCGAGTTAGAATCAACTGCATCAAGAAAAGATGGTGACCGTGATATTCTTACTCTTCCAAAAGTTGCAACAGGTCATAAGGGGGATGGGACAGGACTGTCGGATGATGGCTTTATTTTGGAAATATCTTTTGCTCCGCAAGACCAAGATATGATGAAAACGACTAAAGATCTTTACAAAGTTACTTGAAGAAATGAGGGATATGCTCCATGCTTCTATGAAAAAAAGGTATAAAATACCTAAGGATGGTTTATGTGTATACGGTTCACAATGTTATGGATATACACAAGACCTATATGAGATGGAGTATATTAAGCCCTTTTACATAGTTTGAAAAATCGGATCCGTGATTTATTCTTATAATGACATCACAAAACTTGCTCTCGTTCTGCGGATTATGTGGGCATTTAAAGAAAGGGTTGCTTCTGCAAATCAGGTCTGGAATAATTTGAAGAGCCGATATGAAGCCGATGATTCACTAGAATAATCTGACGATGAAGATAGCTAACCCCCAAAAAGCAAAAGGACGTAGCACTCAATGAATTTAATATTTGAAAAGTAAATATAGCTCGCACTTTTTTTTTCATGTATAGTCTTTTACCTTTTAACAATCCGTATATTATGGTTGCGAGAAAAATAAATAATAATAAAAAAAAAAATACACACATGCTATCAGATTAATCATCAATAAAGCATTTATTAGTTTGTTATGTGTGTCGTACCATTCATGCGATTTATGGAAAATTTTTGCCTGAAGGAATAGAGGCTGTGCGACGTTGCTACATTCACGTTCTCTTCCAATTTTTTTCTAAACGATGCAATTAGTCCTGACCCAGACGTATTATCTCTATTTCTGAACTCGTGTAGATGCTCGTTATATTTTTTTTTCCCAGGAGTTACGGATAAATTTGCTTTTTTTCTGGCTTTTTTATTTTGAGTTTCTGTTTGAAAGGTATTTTCACCAACGTTTGAGTCACAGATATTCGCGTCTGGCTTTTCAATACTCCTACCCGTTCTATACCATCTGCTTTAGGCAAGAAATACTTTCGTTCGGCAAGTAGCTGTGAGGTATAGGCTGATCCCAGGAAACTCTATTTAATTATTCTCCTCTCCAATCTGGTAAATACGTTTTGTTGAGGTTTTGTAAGTTCAATTAAAATTTTGTACCTAGGCTTTATATTACGACATTGCATAATATAGGAATAGTCGTCAGGCAAAAATAAAGGTGCATCAGAGCGTATGCGTGCTCTAACCATCGTGACCTAGTGTTTTTTTTTTTTTTACTTTGCGATTACAAGAGATATATATAATTAAAAAATAAAAATGAAGTATCGAAAATATAGAAAAAATAAATCATTTTGAAAATTACAAATAAAAATTTATATCGAAAAAATAGAAACAATAAATTATATCGAAGATAGAAATATAATAATAAAGCATTCCGGATTTTCAATACAAGCATACAGCTCTATCAACACATTCTACGTAGCAAGGTCGGAAATGTCTTGCTTTGCGATAATATGTATATTCGATATTACATAGTATACGAAAAGATACAATATGTTTAATTTTTTCTTAAAGTAACTTTTACTAATAGTATGGACATCGAAAACAATACTTATGCAGATTTACGTTACGGCAAAAAAATTATATCCGAGTTAAATGATTGTAATAAAGCGTTGCAAGATGATCGATTGAAACAAAATATTTCGAACAAAAAGGAAAAGTGTGATGGAGAAAAAAAAAATTGGAGCAGGGAGAAAAAACGGTTGGAACATGAATTTCAGAAGTTACACACTTATGCCTTGGAGGTCGCTAATGAGGCCGAGAGATTGAAGGTCAAAAGTTCTAATAAAGAAATGTCTCTTGCTCAATGCAAGGATCAAATTCAAAGGAGATAGATTCACTTTATTCTAGAATCAAACCGCTAGAAGAGAATCAACTTTAGCTCAAAAAGACTCGCCAAAAAAATATTATCTCTTAAAGACAAACTGGCTAAGTTATAGATTACTACGCAGGGAAGTGAGTGCGCTCTGCGCATAAAATCAAGCGAGATAAAATCGCATCAATCTATTATTAAAACGTTGAAAGACAAATTAGCTCTAGCTCAAAAAGACATATCAAAAAAAGATTCCGAAATTTTGTCTCTTAATCCTGAGTTAAGTAAGTTAAAAACAGAGCTGACGCGTTCAAGGTTGAAAGATACTCAGGAAACAGAGCTCTTACTTGTTTGGAGCAGGCTTCATTAGATCGAGAGTACCAAGGTACTCGAGTCTCCGACTCACCAACATTGGAATGTAAAAAGCCCAGTGTTTTTTATTCAGAGAGGCAGAGCTTTGAAGCTTTCGCTTCTCAGAAAGAACAGGCAAAGCCCGGAGTCTCTGACTTGCCCTTGCTTTGCGAGACTGCAGTTGGTGTAAAACAGCATAAGTTAGTATCTGATTCTCAGGGAAGCGCTTCTAATAATTTGATACACCCTAACAGTTGACTCGCAGAACAAGGATACTCCTGAGTTTAGTCTTCGTCCTTTTTTGATTAAAAAGCCAAGTTTAGAATTGATAAAAAGTAGTACAAATGCACATAGTGAGATTGATATAGCGATAGACGGTGAATCGGCTAAATTTGCATCATATCTAGTCATAATAGAGACCGCTCTTGGGCAGAAGTCATTCGATAGTATCATTACCAATGAACGTTGGCAAAAATTTTGCGTACATTAAAATGCGCTGCAAATGGCTATAAAGGAAATAACCGGATCGGATATTTCAATGGATGATACGTTATTAGCTGATTCTTCGAACGAGACTAAATGGAGTCAACACTTAAATATATTACCGCGCTCCTTTGTCCGTGGCGCATACAAGGCTCGGAAATTTACGGCTCGAATTTTAGAACATGTTCCACAAAGAATAAAGTAAAGTAAATAAGAATATCCATTGTTTCCGATTAGCAGGGAGTCACAAAGCTGAAGATCCTTTGCGCATTAATATTAATATTAAGCGCACACTTTCAAATTATTACCTGGAGAGAATATCTAATTACGCTTATCGACAAAGATTCTACAGAACTTTGGCCATATGAATGGGAAGAAGAGAAACAAAGACCGCCTCATGTGAAGATCAAAATAATGCGATAAAAAGCAAATTCCCTTTTCTCCACTAGCATATCGCTCACTGGAAATCGCAGTACTGATGGTACAATATGTGCATTGACATGTCGTAATGTCAAAAATAGAGGATGGCTAAAAGCCGAGTAGAACGTGACCTGATTCTTGCAATTACATTGGTCAAATTTGTATATCAACCAATGAAATTGTAAAAAAACTACTCCGCTTTAGCCTACCCCCCAAAATAGTTCATGATTATCATTGTTGGCAAATACTGTAAATCCATTGGTTGATGGCCAATCGATATATCCGCAATGGTTTTTGACGATTCCTCTATGCTCACTCATGCATTTTAGTTAATAGAAACTGGTGTGTGGTAGCCCTTCAATACTTGTGGGCCAAACCTTTCACCTTGTTTATTCAAGTCCAAAGGGAGAAAGCAGCCAATTAGTAGACAACCTTATAACCACATTCATTGAATGTTTTACTGATATTGATTCTCTCAAGAACGCATTGCGACTGCGTATAAAAGGTTTCCGTTGGATTATAGTCTTTATTTGAAAGAGATTCACTTGTCAAAGATTCTCAGATTGACCAAAGATAACACCAGATTCAATTCAGAAGGTGTGCAAATTAAGATTGCTCGCTTGGCAATTAAATATTGCCCCCATCTCAAACCTTTTTCTCTCGGACATTCTATTTCTCATCCGGAACGATTGCTAATTTCTATAAAAAGCTCTCCCATTTACAAACTTTAGAGTTGTATTCATGTGAAAATAGTAGCATACTTAGTACACTTTCTAGGGCAGCACATAATTTGGAATCCATTTCGCTTGGAGATTATAACCGGACTAAACATAACTTTGAACAAGAATTACATCATAATAATCATGGATTGCAAAAACTCATACAGTCTCAGCATCAACCAAAGACAATTACTATAAATAATGTAGTTACCGAGATGGGATCAGTGATTAAATTGTTGGAGTCACAGTCAAATTCCCTGGAATCGATTATTTTGCAACAAGTCAGCTTCAAATCAGATGATTTAAACATTAAACCAGTTAAGTTTCATCAATTGACAAGGATACACAAAAAGGACTGTTCATTGATTTCAATCTTTTAACCTGCAATTGGTAAGACCTAAACTTTCATGCCGTGTTGCTTCTTTTAGTATACTTTTTTGGTAACAATAACAAAAAGAGATAATTATTTGTTAACAGTTTCTCAGTAATATGTATACAAAGGTACAAATAAAAAACGCTACATTAAATGTCACCTGTTCAAATTTGACCGGGGTGGTAGTCTCGAAACTTAGCTCTAAACGTGGGTTTGCTTACATGCTCGCGCATTTATTAAGGCATATAATTTGCAGCCGGCTCTTTATGCTATCTATCGTTAAGGTATATAAAATCACGCTCATATGTTGTGTTAAACCATTAATAAATATCTTCCTGTCTGCATTCGCATAATTACAGCTAGGTGTTAATCTAGCTTCTGTAAGCAGGGCAGGCTTATTCGGTTAATTTCAGCCTCCTAAGCAATAGGTACTTCCGTTCAGCAACAACAACGCACAAGAATAGGAAATATACTGAAGTCTGAGTCTGAGTGGTGTAAATATCGATCCAAAAGGTCCCACTATGAATGCAGATCACAATATTAAATACGCAATATTTGATATCAAAAGCCACTTATAAGGGGGGTGGATTCGGAAACAAAAAACTAGAGTCACATCTTGGTAAACGTGAAGATTATGTAATACCAAGAGTTACGATATTACATAGAACTTGGGACTCGTAGTAGATGAAGTCATGGAAATTTATCATTCAGTCAAACTTACGTCCGGCGCGTAATAATCATGGTATGCGTCGACACAATATTGTTAATAAACCTCAGCTAGAATCGGTGTGTTTACAGTGTTCGCATAGCATTAACTTACATTGTATTCCTTAATAAATGAGTAGTTCTTTATACCCCGAGATAAATTTTCGATCTTTATCCCCTGATAAACATTCAATCCCTATATCGAACAAGGATAATCGCTTCCCTTGTCCGCGGTGGCAATTGCAGAAAACGGGAAGTTGCATTTATTATTATGGGGGTTGCGTTTATGGAGGTCTCACTGTATATACAGTCAGACCTCTCTAAATGCAACCTCTTTTAATGCAACTTCTCTCTAAATGCACAGCAATTGCTTGGTCCCACGATGGGACTTAAGAGATAAGTGCACATTCTATGTTCTGCAATTGCAAGCTTTCTTTCGGCCCTATCTCTATATGAGTGTTCAAATAATTACGTAATAAATGTTCATGATATCTTTGCCGATTACATAATCGGAATTGCCTTTGGATTATAAGGTTAGGTTGTAAAGACGACTTGAGGAAAGGAATTTGTTGGGCCCCGATCATTTTCTTATATCGAGAGCCACTTGTATAACGTACTGTTGCGGTCGGTGTATTCTTTGGGTGGGAGAGCCAATGATCTGTCGCGTAGGTGTGTTCACCGACAGGGGGA